GGGAAAGGGCAGTGTCAGGAGGAAGGAGCCAGGCTCTGCTCTGGGATGGCCAATGCCAGGACAAGGGGCAATGGTCCCAAGCTGGAGCACAGGAGGTTCAAGCTGAACATGAGGACAAACCGAGGTCAGGATCTCTGAGCACCTCCACATCGTTCAGAACGCTCTTACCTGATAGGGCACGAGGCTGTGCAGCGGCAGCACCGCCCCCACGTCCGGGGGCTGCAGCTGGCCCAGGTAGCCCAGCATGGCCATGTCGCGCAGGATGCCGCTGTGCACCCGCCTGCAAAACACCCACAGCGCGTCACGGCAACGCAAACCCACGCAGGGACAGCCCTGGCCTGCCCACTGCTTCACACAGCTCAGTCTGTGAATTGCTGCTGAAGCAAGCGTGGAACTGCATGGATCCCTCTAGGGGACCACAGGGCACTGCTCCAACTTCAAAAAGGCTTCAGTTAACCACGGTGGAGATCAGTTTGTTTGATCAAACTGTTATTAGGCAATAGGTAAGGAACCTCCTGGCTGGAAACAGGACCCTGAGCACTCAGTGATCCCAAGTGGACGTCAATGCCCAGTGTAAAAGTGACCGAGTCAGGAGGAACAACCCCCTCCCCTTCCCAAGCTAAAACCCAACCCCACACAAACTGCCCCAACCACCACCACCTCCCCAAACCCAGAAACCCGCCACAAACCACCCAAACATAACCCCCTACCAAGCACACCACCAAGCTCTGCCCCATCCAACGCAGCTCTTGAGCTCAAAGTAACCCAGAGCCCTTCCTGTCAGGACCGCGCGGTTTTGCAGAGCCCACCAACCCCACACAGCGCCAAGCTTTCTACTTACGCTTCACCCGCAACCCCTGCGCGCGGGAACTCCGGGTGGACGTACAGCAGCTTGTACTCGGGCACCGTCACAGCCTCCTGCCCCTCGGAGGCCGCCCAGGTCTCCACGCCGCCCTTCCCCGGCTGCTTGCCCTTGGTGAACAGCCCGGGCGCCAGCTGCACGTACTCGGGCGTCAGCGGGGCCATGGCCTTCCAGTCGTACACGTCCATCTGCACGATGTGGCTGGGCGACAGCAGGCGGAGC